TAACAAGAAGTTCATGCTGTATAGTACAGGGAACTGAAACTATGTTCAATATTTTGTAGTAGCTTACGGTGAAAAAATATGAAAACAAGTATATGTACATGTATGACTGAAAGCATTGTGCTGTACACCAGAAATTGACACAACATTGTAAACTGACTATAACTCAATAAAAAAAATATATATATATATACAAAAAAAAGAGAAGAACCTTTATTTTTCAATCTGCCTTGCCTTTCTGTCTGTCTGTCTTTCTTTCTTTTTTTTTTAGTTAGGAAGAAGGCAAGTGGTTCAGTTCAGGTTTAATGAGAGTCATTATTCTTACTTACTGCCTTGCTTTCAGTATTCACCCTTACCCATTTTAACAATAAATAACTATTTGTTTATTGGGGCTTAGGGACAGGGAATAATTGCAGGAAAATCCCCATCATGATTCTTGAGAGGGGAAATGTTTTCTGATAGAAAAATTAGATGAAAAAATTCACATTTAAATAATCACCTTTTTGTGTTTTTTATACCTGCAGTATTTGTTAAAAGCCAAAATACTTTCTTAAAATATGCCTTTATTTAAATGTAATACTTTTTTAATTACAATTTTAATACATGCCTTTTGAAATAACAAAATTTAAACAATGAAGAATGGAAAGTTAAAAAAAATGAGTCTGCTTTGATCCTATTTCCTAATTCTTACCCCTTCTCAGAGAATGTGTATTTTTGTATGTCTCCTTCCAGACTTTTTTCTACATCTCTACATACACAGGTTTAAAAAAAATGGCATATGTTAGACACATTATTTGTTACATACTATGTTCTATGACTTTTTCACCACTTATTGTGTATTACTACATAAAGATTATTTTTACTGTTCTCTTGGATAGATGTGCTGTAATCTATTCAGCTGTTTCCCTGTTGATGAATATTTAGATTACTTCCAGTGTTTTGTTATAGTTTATTCCTTTGACAAATGTTTATTGACTGCCAGGCAGTGCTAGTGAACAAAACAAAAATTCCTGCTCTCATGTTGTTACCTTCTTTTGGAGGTAGACAATAAGTGAGGTATGTCAGATGATCTTAAGGGCTATAAGGTGATGAAGGAGACAAGGAGTGCTGGGAATGAGGGGGAGGGGCGGCAAGCCTTTGAAAGTTTCCGAGCAGAGGCCTGATATGATCTACTTAGATTTGGGATGATCATTCTGCTTTCTTGATGATAAACTGTTGGAATGGAAACAGGGAGGCCATTTAGGAGGCTTTGTGACAATCAGGCAAGACACAGTGATGACTTGGACTGGCTTGGACCAGGGTGGTAGCAGTTAGAGGTGGTTAGATTCTGAATATGTTTTTTAAAGATAGGGTGATAGAGAAGAGTCCAGGACCATTCTGTAATTTTAGTTCTGAACAGTCGGAAAAGTGGAGTTGCCATGAAATGAAATGGGGAAGACTAGTAGGCAAGTTAGTAGGGTTTTTTTAAAAAAGTGAAGTATAGTTGATTTACAATATTTTGTCTGCTTTCAAGTGTAGAGCAAAGTGATTTGGCTTCATATTTATACGTTTATATGTATATGTATTTTCAGATTCTTTTCCATTATAGGTTATTACAAGATATAGTAGGCAAGATTAGACATCTGGGCTTTGGGCACATTCCATTTGAGAATCTATTAGCAGCCAAAGAGAGGTATTGAGTAAGCAGTTGGAAAGGTAAATTTGGAGTTCAGTGGTGAGGTCAGGGCTGGAGATGCTAACCTGAGAGTCATCAGTTTATTAATGTAGTTTAAACCCTGAGCTCACCTAGGGACTGAATTGGAGAAGAGACTCAAGGACAGCCCTGGGCACTCCAAGGTTTAGAGGCTGAGGATATGAAAAGGTTGTAACGAAGAAGACCAGGAAAGCAACCAGTGAGACAGGAGGGAAACCACGAAAATGTCATGCCCTGGAGACCAGCTGAAGGGAGTCAGCTACATCAGATGACAAGACCTGAGAACTGACATTGACTATACAGTGACTATACAGTGTGGCTGTGGGGGTAACCTTGACAGGAACAATTCTGAGTGAGAAGTAGGGGGCTTGATTGTGGTAGATTCGAGAAAGAATGGAAAGAGAGGAACTGGGCTGTTAGTATAAGCAACGCTTTTGAGGAGTTTGTTCTAAAAGAGAGAAAATGGGGCTTTAGCTGGAGGGGGTTATGAAGTCAAGGTGTTTCTGTTGTTTCTTGTCTAATGTGGAGGAATCAAATGTTTTAAGCTTACTGGATCCAGCAGAGGGAAAAATCCAGCAAGGCAAAGCCCCCACTTTCAGAGAAAAGTTTGAGGAATCCATTTTAATAAATTTATATGCATGTATACAAGGGTTTCTGTGGGCTGCTTTCTTAAGAGGATTTCCTGAGTCAAAGGGTATGTGCATTTAAGAAATCTGTACCAATTTGTATTCCACCTTTGCTAATATTGGACTTTGCCAATCTTAAAAATTATTGCCAGTCTGATGGGTGATATCTTCATTGTTTTAATCTGTTTTATGCTTTGTAGGAACTCTATATGATCGAACTTATCCTTTGTTGTATTTTGACAAATATTTTCTCCCAGGCTGTTTCTTGCCATTTAAGTTTGCTTATGCTATACTTTTACCATATAGATTTTTTTCAGTTTTTATGTAGTTAAGTCTGTCAGCCATTTCCTTTTATAGCATTTGGGTTTCATTTAGATTATATAAATATTTTATATACTCTTTTAATACACTTACATATTTACCTTGAAAATTCATCTGGAGTTTATTTTTGTGTATGTTGTGAAATAGGTATCTAAGTTTTCCATCTTCTTCTGTGTTCTTAAACAGTTAAATACTTAAGAATTAACTGTTTCTTGAAGGTTTGGAAGAAATTACCTATAATATCTTCTAGGCTTGGAACTTTTTTGGAGCATAGATCTTTGGCTTCTTAATGTTTTATTTTTAAATTTAAAAAATTGTTGTCTGTGGTTAATGATCTATTTGGTTTATATACTTCTTTTTAGGTTAGTTTTGGTAATTGATTTTTTTTCCCCTGGCGCCTCATTCTTATCATCCAGATTTTTCAAATTTACTGGTTTATAATTCTACATACAGAAAAGAAATTCCAAGTCTTCTCTATATGTGCTGTCTCTCCCTGTCCTTACACCTTTGGGCAGTGATGCTGTAGCTGTTCTTTCACAGATCTGGGGATTGATTAGCTGCTTTCTGCCCTCATGGGCCAGATCTCACTGCCCTTTGTCTTGGGGTTACTCCTAGATTCTTCTTCTCTTTTGCCTGTGAGGGATTGCAGGCTCCTTGGTTCTGTTTCCTGTCAGTCTAATCCCACTTGCTCTTTAGCTCACAGAAGTTTCTACTGTTGAGGTCTGCAGGTGTGTCTGTGCCCTTTTTGGGCACATAGCTAAGGAGAACATCAAGCCAGCATCACAGTGGACTTATTTTTGTATTTCTCCTGTCATTCTGGAGAGATTGTGGGAAGGATGAGAGACAGATACGTATTTTTAGTGAGCCTTCTGAAACAGAAAGTCACTTCTATCCTGTGTGGTTTTCTTTTCTCATAGCCCTTTGTGTAATTGCTGGTTGCACAGTAGTTGGGTAGTAACTTCCCAGTGTGAGTGGTGATAGTCCCATGGACTTCACTTTTTAAATTTTAAATGAAACCAGATGTCTCAGTGGAATATACTTGTTGAACAGAAATGTTGATATATTGTGACTAAATATTCAAATAGTACTTTAAAACCTTAAATGACATAGTCATAACATTTAGAACTACAGGGACTTTACAGACCATTAGACCCACTGCCTTATTTTATGGATGAAGTATTCGAGGCCCAGAGAGATTCAGTGATTTATCTAAGGTGACAAAGTCACTGATCAAGCAGGATGGAAAACCGAAGTCTCTTTGCTTCAGTTTGACTATGCTGTTTGCTTTTACACATTCTTGATGTTCTCCTTAGCTGTGTAACGGAAGAGGTATTTTCAGCTAATGAAATTTTTTAAACATAAGGATGGTACATGTGGCTTGGAATTGCTTCTGAAATTTGGTCTTAGACACCATATTAAATATATTGATGTTGATTGTGCTTCTCATATTGATATTAGCTATTATGAATGTGAACATTAAATATTTAAAATATGAATTTTAAAAGAATGAGCTGTCCAGGTATGCTCTAGCCTAAACGAAGACCATAGAGTTTATTTCCCCCTCTCTGCATACAGACTTCATGTAATTTATGGACTCCTGGATTTCTTATTACTATTTTAAGCTTAAGGAATATATATAAATATAAATACAAGCTTGAAAATGATTTTAGTGATAAATAATCATAAAATATTTCAGACCTAGGATTTGTAATTCTTTGGTTTAATATGCTATGCTGCTGGATCAGCAGCTAAATTTAGCAGTGCTAAAATACATGTTTTTCATGAAAAGAGCTTTGCTTATCATTTTTTTTTCCAGCAAGCATTAGGGAATAGGATATACGTATCACATTTTCACTGCTTTGCTTGGTCTTTAACTTCAACAGAAAGTTTTTTAAATTTGGGATTTTTATTATTGATATTCCTTGTTTGGTAGTCTTATCTTTAGTTCTTGAAAAGCATTGAGGGGTTGAGGGTTTGCTGTGTGTAGCATTAGTGAACTTGGGTGGGTTCTGTCCTGGTTCCCCACTGGCCCTCCCCCCGCCCCCATCCCTGTCTCACCTCAAGCCAGTTAAGAAGAGGGGAGGTTTGTATGTAGTTGCTCGAGAATTATATTCTTTTTCTTTGTTAATGGAGGTACTGGGGAATGAACCCATTGCCTCGTGCACGCTAAGCATGCATGCGCTCTACCACTGAGCTATACCCCCCTGCCCCAGGATTGTATTCTAAGATTTGTTTAATTATCTTCAGGTTTCAACTCTTTCAGTACTTTTGAAATACATGATATAACATTGCTTTTTTTTTGTAACTTAAAGAGCTATCTCTCTATGTCCAATATGAATTCTAAGAATTTAATTTTGTTCCAGTTGGTCATAATGGCAGGCGAAGAAATGAATGAAGACTATCCAGTAGAAATTCATGAGTATTTATCAACATTTGAGAATTCCATTGGTGCTGTGGATGAGATGCTAAAGACCATGATGTCTGTTTCTAGAAATGAGTTGTTGCAGAAGGTATTTTAAATTCGTGATTTCTAAATATGTAATTCATAAAACCAAGTGCTATGTTATGAAACATGTAGAAGAAGAAATAGATAAATGCCCGTTTCTCCCTTTATTTCAAATTTTTTAAGTGTTTGGATATTTTTAGGGGAAAAATACAACAAAACTCCAACCTTAGGAAATACCTCTTAACTATATTTTATTTTGACTTGGATTTGGGAGAAAAAAAGTTCTCCCAGCATTCTTTTTGACAGCCTCTATCTTTGACCTTTTAAGTATTACAATGATGTTATCAGGGTTTCTGGAAACCCTATAGGACAAAAAGAGTAAATTGACTTTGACAGTCTAAAACAAATCTCATTATGTTTCTTCTGTCTTTGGTATTGCCTAAGCATTTAGCCTGCTTCTTATACATAAATGCATCATGTACAGTGTTTATATTGATAAATTACTTTTGACATACAAAGCCCAGATCATACCTCCTGAAATTAAAATAATTCAAAAGAATTTTTTTTTTTGTATTGTACATGTTCCTCGTTTAACCAAAGATGGTACCCTGGAGTGGAAATTTGTGGGCAGAAATTACTGCTTAACAAAACTTTTCTTTTTGCAAATTATTTCCAGATTATTTGGTTAGTGGATTATAGGAAGTGAAAAAAAACATTTCTTTGATACATTGTGCTTGGTGAAAGTTTAAAATATCTGATGGTGCTCAAAGTTTGTGTGTATTTCTTTTTTTCTTTCTCTTTTTTTGTAGTTGGACCCACTTGAACAGGCAAAAGTGGATTTAGTTTCTGCTTACACATTAAATTCAATGTTTTGGGGTATGTATATTACTTTAGAGTTAATTAGAAAGCAAATTATTTATTGTGTCAAAAGTGATTTATTTTTAAATGCTAGCAATTTATATAGTTATACTTTATAGCAATTTTATAGTCAGATATTTATTTCTTTCAAGTTAGAATACCAGGTGCCCATGAGCCACACATAAATTTAATATTACAAAGAGGTGGAATAATTTAAGATTTAACGAATCATTTGTGTGGTTTCTTTTTTGTAACTAGGATTTCTTTAATTGATGCTGTTAATTAATATGTACCCAATTTATTCCATGAAATCTTTCTCTTTTAGTTTACTTGGCAACTCAGGGAATTAATCCTAAGGAACATCCAGTAAAGCAGGAATTGGTAAGATTGCAGTGGATTTATTTCCTTTTATTTTACATGTTTGCCTGTTGTGTATTCCTGAAGTTAAAGTTGCAGTGCCTGTATCACACTAATTGTGGGGGGCGAAATTATGAAACTGAGCCAGATTTCATAATGTCTTTAGTTTTTCTTTTTCTCACCTTTGTCAGAGAATAGTGTTCCATGTATTATATAAATCTCTGGATAGGAAAGTGTTACGATTCTAGTAATTATTTATAACTTCTGTATTATTTTTCCTATAAATTCTTGAAACCTGTTCATCTCTACAACTGCCTTTTTTTTTTTAACTTACACAATTCTTAAAAGTATATTCTAGTTGATTTACTAGCAAAGACAGGAAAGTTTCTCCTCCACCTTTTCAGTTCTTCCATTAATTCATTTTCTCAGCAGTAAAGAATCCAGTTCAGCAACAAAGCTAAAAGCTTTTTTGGCACCAGTTGTATGTGTACTGTCCAGTAATTCTGCATTAGTGACATATTTACAACCTGTAATAAATCTTCTAGGTTTGTCTTTGTATTCCATTTAGATATGTAAGTACAGTATATAAGGTCTGGTATCTTGGAGTTTTTGCTGACTTCAGAAATTAAATCATTCAATTTTGAAAGAAAAAATTAGAAATCAAACTTATGGTTACCTTCTTGACTTGGTTTTATGAATAAGAATATTAATAAATTTACTCTTTCTGTTTATAAAATATAAGGTAAATATATATATATGTGAAATACACTTGACACTAATCTACAGTCTTACTGTGGTTGATAAGTGTGTTTTTTATAACTTAGTAAAGAACTTGGTCATTCATTTTAAAAAAATGAGTAAACCAGATCTGTTGTCTTTAGTTTTTAGATGTGTAGACTAAGATGTTTTTGTCTTTTAAATTTCTTGGGGGAAGAATAAATTTATTTTTAAAGATAGAAATTGTGAAAAATACTTAAAGCTAAAACGTGAAGCAGTGTGAGCCAAAGATCTTGATTTGACAAGTGTTACTGGCTTTTGGTCTTAAGAAGTATACATCGTATCATCTGTTTTCACCTTTCTAGTACGGTCTTCACATGTATAAAGGTCCTCTTTTTGTCTTTAACACCAAGTTATTTGGAGTGTTTTAATACTTGATTCTGTCATTGGAAAAGGATCAAATCACCTGTCTTCTTTTTCCCTCAGAATCCACTTCATAGGGGAGTACATTCATATTCCAGACAAGGGCTGGCACATAAAAAGCATCCATGAGCCTGTTCCCCTCTTCTGACCTCGTGACAGACGTTGCTAATTGATCACAGAGTTACTGTGTGAGAGGAGGCCTGTTTGTCATATATATCATACGTGGGGAAAGGCATTGAAAATAGTCAGCTTATTCATTCAGCAAATATTTGAGTGCCTCCTGGGAACCAGGCATTATTTCCAAGTGAGATAATTCCTCAGTAAATCAAGCCAATAAATATCCCTGCCTTTGTGGCAGGTGCCAGACTGTCTAGGGTTGAAAAACAGTTAACATAATAGAACAAACAAATAATAAATGTGTATGAATATATGGTACGGTAGAAAGTTATATGTTATGGGGAAAAGGAAGAAAATAGCACAGGGTTTGGGGCACTAGAGTACTTTTGTAGTGTCTCCCGTTTCGGTGGTAAAGGCCGGACTGACTGACAAGGCTGGCTCTTGAGCAGGCGTGGCCGGGTGGCTCCGTGAGGGAAGCTCATTCCAGGCAGGGCTGGGCTGGGTGGTGTTGTGAGGGCTTGGGCTTTAACTCTGGGAGAAATAGGGAGCCATGTGAGGGTTTGGAGCAGAGTTGTCCATTTTTAAAAATTGAAACCTTTGGAGGTTCTGCATTTTTCTGTATCTGTTTGTACAAGTCTTTTGATTATTGTAATGAAGCTTGCTTTAAAGTGGTGATCAGTAATTTACTCTGCTGTTTTATGGCTCTCACACCGTTGTTGCTCCATTTGAAGTATAGAATAGCCCTTTATTCTCATTAATGGTCTCAGAAGATTCATAATGATGCAGCAGTCTAGCATGTTTCTCTCCTTGTCTGATGAGGGCAGTATGTTTCACTAGAAAATATCATGTGTTTATATGAAATTGAATGAAAGATCTTGTGCTTTCATTCTGCTTATTTTAGTTGTGACACTAGAAGGTAACATAAAAAAAGTAAATAGTTAAATACTGCCGTAGCCCTTTCCTGTTTAGAAAACATTTTGGAGAGTTTAGTTGACATGTTGCAAGTAAGCTCTGTTTTAGATTATGGACTTCAGATAGAAGAGAGTTAGTATGTGGATTTAGGTGAATGCTAAATTTAAAAATTTAGTATAACCACTTACAAACAGTGCAGTGTTTATCTCTGTAGCCATGTGTTAGTCTGGGTCTTCCCCTTTTGAAACACTCAGAACACTTCTGAAGTGGCTTTCTCATGTCCGCACTCCCCCTGGGCTGCGAACTCCAGGAGGGCGTGGACCGCGTCTGTCCTGTCTCTCTGCTCTTGCCCAGCGCCGCTCAGTAGGCGGTAAATGCAGCGCTGTTGAGTTTAACTGAGGTGAAGTACAATGAAACCTAGCGGCGGTGAACAGCTTAGTAAATCTATTGCCTTTCTTCTTTTTCTGTTTTTTTAATCTTCAAGGAAAGAATCAGAGTGTACATGAACAGAGTCAAGGAAATAACAGACAAGAAAAAGGCTGGCAGGCTGGACAGAGGTGCAGCCTCAAGATTCGTTAAGAATGCTCTCTGGGAACCAAAACCTAAACATGCATCCAAAGTTGCCAATAAGGGAAAAAGTAAAAATTGACCTTTTGGTTTTGGTGTACAGATATTCAAAAAGTACATCATTTTTTAATTGTTTTTCACAAAATAGATGATGATGATGACGTGGCAATGTAGGTTTAAGTGTATTTATTCCTTATTGAATTCTTATATAAAATTGACATTTTAAACTTGTATTGCTAAATACTTTTCCCCCCAGAAAGATTGGTATCTTTATTGGTTTTCTTATAGAACACCATGCAGTTTTTAACATTGTGGTATATTTTATATTTATAGTTTACCATCTCTCTTGACAAAGACTTATTTCCTTATATAGGTTGGTCTTTCAAGTGCCACTTTATAAGCAACTGTGAAATTTAAGTTAAATGTTCTTTGTAAACATTTGTCTATTTTCAATGAATAATAACCTTATGAAGTATGCTGACGTTATAAATACATGTTTTCACTGTATAATATTAAGAAAGAATGAAATGATGTAAATGTCCATTTTAATCTGTGTAGTTATTTCATTATGCTTTCATGATTTTGGGAATTATTGCGTTTTTGAAATTTGAAGTACAAAATTAAGACTTTAAGGTTATTCTTTAATTCTTGGCACTTTGCCACTATATCCCATTTGAAGTAAAATATATTCTCATTAACTTTAGATGGGAAATGAGGTTGTATATTGATGGCTGAATTTTGGCATAATGGCTGTATCCAGTCAATAAAGCTGTAAATGTTGTATAGCTGGCCTGTTTATTTTTTCTCTTTTGAGTAAACTTGTCCTTGAATTATGAGGGTAGGTTTTAGAAATGCTGAGGAATAGAGAAGTTCATGAATTTTTGTTCCTTATGCATAGCGCCCACAGTTCTTGTGGCCTCTCTTCAGGTTTTTTTTCAGTGTGTTTCTGAGGCTATAGCAAGTGCAGACAGGTGTTTTGGAACAGCTTCCTCTGTTATGTAGTGCCACTTACGCAGAGCAGAAGTCCAAAGGAGGTTACGTCATGTTTATAGTCTGATTTATTTTTCTGTAATATTTGTTACAGAAAATCCTAAATATTAAAAAAAACTCAATTTTTAAAAAAATGTCGAGGCCCATGACTTTTAATCTTATGCCCTTAATGCTTTCAGTCTTTGAATCCACATCATTCTGTGTAGGAATGCCAAGTACAGTAAAGTAATTTAATTTTTGAAAAAGAAGTTGTTAAAATTTTCTGTGTGATTAATTCTCCATAAGTAACCTTGAATAAATGGATTTCTTGATTTATGGCCACAGATATTGGAAATGGTCTTAAAATGTAATGGATTTTGTAAAGCATGTTGAACCCTGTCTCTGACACACAGAGAGGAAGTCACTGATAGTTGCAGAACGTCTTCTGGCTCTGGTGTCAGACAGTTTGAAGTGGAAGAACGTTTATAATTATTTCACTCCTTTTTTCACCTTCATCCCCTCAAATTTCTAGGTTTTTTTTTTTTCGAAGTAACTTCATAAGAGAAATAAATGTTATTAAGATCAAGTGAAGTGGCTGTGTTTTTTATTGCAAAGAAGCATGTAACTTGCATTTCTGTATATTTTTCATTTCATTAAGGAAAAAAAAATTAAGTGAAAAACATCATATGGTGGCAGAAAATTCTTAGCTAGATTATTGGTTTGAGAAAAGTCCAACTCTGCATTCTCTGAAACTGGAGGTTCTTAAGATTCTTAAACTGAGTAATTTAAGTGTTTATTGGGAGAAGTAAAAAACAGTTTGAATGTATTCCGTTTTATGTCTAATTTCAAATACTTGTTATTCAGCACATAGCAAGGAGCTGGATGGTAGTAAGTGCGCTGGGTTGCTTATTTTTTGTTCATTTATTTCACAAATATTTAATGAACTTTACATTGCTAAATACTGTACTAAGTTCCAGGTAAGACAGCTCCTTTTATTCTATTTTAATCAAGTCTTATGGAAAAAAAAACTGGTCTTTTTGTTTAATTCAGTTTTTCAGATTTACTGGAAAATTTGTGACAAGTTGTGCTCATTAACCTTAGAATCATGAAGGGTGATGGGTTGATCTATTTGACTATGGTGCAGTTCTTGTTAACGTAGTTTGTTCCAAATGACAGTCTGCTCTAAGTTTAGATGTTAATTACATCTTATATTAATCTCTGCGGGAATTAACAAATTGGAGAGTCTATAGCTATAGATATTTTTAAGATTAGAATTATAGACTATTAATCTAATACTAAATAATGAGATTTGGTCTTTTAGTATTATTTTAAGTACAATTTTCTTCTTCTTCACAGTTGCAGGATGGGAATTCATTTTAGTAAAATAGAATATGTTAAGAGGAAAATTGAACCTTGAATTATGGTTTACATTCCTGGAATTCGAGGTTCTGTCAAGTTGATTGGTTTTTAAGATGCCCTGCAGATTAAAAAATTGTTCCACTTAGCTATTTGAAATGGGTTAGTATTCTTTCTAAATAAGCCCTTTAAAATTGACTAGAATGTAGGAAATGCTTAACAAATGGACAATATATTGAATATAGATACTTTTTCTTAAGTGTAGGTCATGGGAGAAGAAGATGACAAGTTTAGGAATCACTCAGCTTTAATACAGTTAAATCATACTTTTAAGCAATAAATTATCAGAAATCCTGGCTTTCCAAAGTGACATCAACTGAGAAAGGTTGAGCAGGGATTCTGAGCCTCATGTAATAGCTAGATTTGGTATATAAAGCGAAGAAAAAGAAGCACTGGCGTCTTGTTTTCTCCCTTGGCAGCATAGTTAGTAAACTTGCTGCAGTAAATTCAGGGGCTCTATTAACTGAATAGCAACGTATTTTATGTAAATGTTATCTGAATGTAGTTAGCTAATAAAAACATTTTGTCTTCCCTATATCCTGGTCTAAAACTTACCAGTTTTGGAAATACAAACTTTATTTTGTTTGTTTTATATATTAGCATTTGAGAGTTGTTATTAACAATTATGTTAGGGGGAAAGTATACAGCATTTCCTAATAGAATTCTGTAGGTGTGTTCTACTTGATTAATTTGCTGTTACGTTGCTTGTGAGCAGGATTTCAAGAAGATGCTTTAAGGTTTTTGGTTTGCAGATCTGTTTTCCATTCAGAGAGCAGCCACCCTCTGACTTGATGTGCCTTTTTAAAGTGTTTATTTTATGGTATAATTTTTAATAATAGCCAGGAAAGATTAGTAGAGTGGTCCAGAAAAGGGAGTAGCTGTTATCTATTGGTCATTGAGGTTTAATTTTAATCCTGTGACCTCTTATCCTGACCTTAGGCCAGAAACTAAAACCAGCCTAGCTCTGTATTAATCGTCTGTTCATGAAAGGTTGAGAAAAAGTGCCAGTCCCCCACCAGGCCCCCTCTCCACCTTGAAGTCTAGCAGGTGCATCACGGCAGAATAACTGCACGCAAGATGTCAGTTTTGTAAAGTGATATATTTCAGATAGTACACAAAACTTGATGGCAGGAAAAATAAGCTTTCATAAATGAAACATTTAAGAGACTTTTTTATTATTTGCTTTCAGTTTAGTGTTGCCTTTAAGGTGTGCCATTTCAGTTTGGCAGCTACAATAAATGACTGAAGGAAATTGAAGATGGTAATTCAGCATTTCAGGATGCTTCTGCTGAAATGAATGTAGACCTACCCAGGGCTTGAATTTAAAGTTTATAGTAATACAGTATTTTAAAGCCAAGTACCCAGGAAATTCATGGTGATAGGATCTGAATGAGCTGATTAGGAGAAATAGAAAAGAATACCTTCAACTCCTTATTAGATGGTTGTTAGCTATTGAGAGGCTGTATTGAAAAGTGTCAGTGTAAAAAGGATGGAGGCTTGTTACATGCAATTTGCTATAGTGTACAGTTTATCTTGGACCTTGTCCAAAGATCTTTAGTTATTAAAATAACAAAGGAATTATTATAGCAAGGAATCACTTCTGCTTTAGTGCTATAGAAATGGGTTCCCTGTAGGCCGTGTTGCAATGTGTCTGGTAGATACCGTTTCATTCAGTGACATTTGCTCTCTCTAATAACGCATTCCTTGACTTACTTCAGTTGAAAGCATTTAGTATCTCATTTCTGACACTTCCCTTCTTTACTATTTTTCCCTTAAGAAGGAAATCATTATTTAAAGTGTGTGTAAACATCGGGGTGCATGTTTCTTTCTGAATTAGTGTTTTTGTTTTTTTCATATATATATACCCAGGAGTGGAATTGCTGGGTCATAGGGTGGTTCTGTTTTTGGTTTTTCAATGTTCATAGCAGCATTATTTACGATTGCCAAGGTATGGAAGCAACCTAAGGGTCCATCGACAGACAAATGGATAGAGAAGATGCAGTATATATCTACAATGAAATACTACTCACCCATAAAAAAGAATGAACTTTCACCATCTGCAGGAACATGAGTGGACTTGGGGGGCATTATGCTAAGTGAAATAAGCAGGCAGAGAAAGGCAAACACTGTGTTATAGCACTTTTTTTTGTGGAATCTGAAATACACAGCAAATGAGTGAATATAACAAAAAAGCAGATTCACAGATAACAGAGAACAGAACAAACTAGTGGTTCCCAGTGGGGAGAGGAAAGGAGGGGAGGGTCAATATAGGGGTAGGAGGAAAAAATTCTAATAGTTGCTGGGTTTTGACATTTGTGAGTTTCAACATTATGGTTTTGACTATTGGTGAGTGACTTTGTAGGTCCATGGACTATATAGTATTTTGCTGTTTTGCCAAGGCATAGTCTTAATTCCTGCCAAATTCCATGCAGGAAGGCATTGTTCAGTGAATGATTTAGCCTAGCTCACCTCTTGGCATCCCCAGTTTTTTCCCCTCCCTTGCAGTCTCATTCATTTATTCGCTCACTCACTGAACAAATATTTATTGAGCTCCTCACGTGTGTCAAGTTCTGTTACAGGCATGGGAGATTCAGCAGTTATCCAAACAGTATATCGTGATTAGGAGATGTCAAACTTCACATGAAAAATGGCTGCTGTGGGTTGACTTGTGTTCCCCTCAAATGAGTATGTTAAAGTCCGAATCCTTAATACCTCGTCATGTAAGCCTATTTAGAAATAGGGTTGTTGTGGATGCAGTTAGTGAAGAGATCATAGGGTGGACCCTAATGCAGTATGACTGGTGTCATTTTGAAAAGGGGAAATTTGAACAAAGAGTTGCACACCAGGAGAGCACTATATGAAGATGAAGGCAGAGATCAGGGTGATGCTTCCATAGGCCATGGCACGTCAGAGATCACCTGCAAAGCACCGGAAGCTGGGTGAGAGGCCTGGGACGCTCTCAGCCCTCACTCAGAGGGAACTAACCTGGCCAACGCCGTGACGTTGGACTTCTAGCCTCCAGAACTATGCGGCAATATATTTCTGTCTTGTGAGCCCTAGCAGACTAAAACGATGACCATTTGAGGGAAGGAATTAGAAAGATCAATAACTTGGATGTGAAAGTATGTGTGAGAAACTTTATGACCCAAGATGAACATGGAATTCTGAAGAAAACCAGGAACGTGTGTAAACTTTTCTAGGAGTATTTTTGAATTTGAGCAAAGATCAAGGGTCTGAAGCCAGAATGTTCAGACCTTTCTAGCAGACATTGTTAATTTTGCCTGAGTGTTCGTACCAGCTTTTGAACTTCATCTTGGTTTGAAGAAACTCATTTCCCTGGAGGAAAGAAGACCCTGTCAGGTTTCCACAGAGGAGAGATTTTTCACCAAACCTATTATCGTGCGTCATGCAGTCTTCCTAATGCAACGCAGCCAGCAGGTTCAAATAATGAAAATAAATATGCAAAACATCTTACACAAGTTGGACGTAATCTGTGCTCATCCAAGAGCACAAACCACTTAAAAAATCTCTTACTGAATTCATCTGGATAGAGATTTTGATTGCTTAACTCTATATCATGTGCTGTGTAGTTTTCTTTTTTAAGTTAGGTATTAGAGAACTCAGAAGTGGGTTTTTACTCCTAATGATTTGGTACCAGTTTAATTAAAAAAAATTTGGTAAATGTTGCCTACTGGTTTCAGCTTTTATAGTCAACCGGTAGATTAAACAGAAGACAAGAATGTAAATGGGATCAACCTTGACCAGGTAAAAGCGAGCTAGAAAAGGGAAGGGTTGAAGGCACTCTTATGGTAAGAAACTCGGATGCTGCCCCACACTGATGGGTGAATGTGGTTTTAAGCCAGTTGTACAGGTAATGGCTGTGTTTTTCTTTTTAATTCTTCCATCGAAAGCTGGAAGGAGTAACGGTGGTGGGAGTGGTATAAATCAATTCCTCATTTTTCGGATGGAGAGTCAGTAAGAGAGAGCCATCAATGTAGGTGTGTGTTAGGTAGGTAATCACCAGAATCCAAGACAAAAATGATGTAAAAGTGATACTCCCTCACGTGAACAGAGGTAAAGTGGGAGCACAGGTTTTTTTGTTTTTGTTGTGCCCATGATGTCTTCATTAAAAAAAAAATGAGAAATTGATGCTGATCGACGACATT